TAGACTGACAGCAGCTCATTGGCTAATTTGTATCACGTGCGGCCTGGTCCTGGAAGACTTAGCATATTAACAGGAACAGCGGCGCAAGTGAAGTTTGACACTGTCGTCGGACAAAATGCGGTAATTTATAAATGTTTTAAATGTTGGGTCCGGATTAGCCAGCAGGTGGGTCCGGATCCGGATCACGGTCCACTAATCTGTGACCTCTGGTCTACAAGAGGTTAATAATAAAAGTCCATCTTGGTTCATAGTCCACCATTTAGGTGCATCTGCATTAAAGATTGTTAATGAACCAAGAGATTCTTAAAGACCAACAAAAAGCACCAAGAACGACAACAGTTAAGTAGGAGCAAACCATTTTGCCCCAAATCTAATTAGTGATTATTTACCACCAATATGGTGACTGCAATTTGATTGCGAATTTCCTTTGCACTAAGCACAAGCATGTAGACATTTAACTTGAGGGTTTAAGTTTTTTTTTTTAAAAAGCTACCCTGTCCAAAGTCCATTGTTACTGGACTTTACTGTAACCTTTGCATTATAAAGTTCTTCTAGTGTATTAGTCTTGTTGAATGTAATGTTACTAAACCAGAGTGCCTCTGCGATTGCATTTAGCTAATTTGCAGTTATATTGCAGATGCAATTAATTGCCCAGTCCTACGATTAAGTTGTGGTGAAAACAGAAGAAGTAGAGTTTAACTGCAAACCTATGACAACAAAGGGCGTCGTCGTTACAGAAACAGAGCTAAGGCAGACTCATTCTATGTGGGGCATTCAGGGAACAGACTGCTGCTTTCAATCCTTCTCCCTCTCTTATCACCTCAACACTGATGAACGTTTAGTAGTTCCAGCGTCCCTCTGAAGCGGCTGCTTTTGGCACCAGAACTGGGTCGGACATGATAAACTAGAAGTACTGCAAGCCGCTCCAGATAAGAGCAGCAGCCTCTGTGTGGCTGGTGAGAAAGCCGCGAGGAGTTCACACCAAGATTTGTGTTTTATTACTATTTTGTTTGTCCAGGGGAAGAGAAAAATAATACAAATGTTCTACTGGGATTTTGCCACAGTGAGGAGAAAACACAGCTAATGAAAAAAACTGTTTGTGCCCGTTCATGTATGTGTATCGATAAGCATATAGATTTATGTTTGTCAGCAGAGGGAGAAGCAGAATGTTTGTTTACGCCATCTGTGTTGACGCACCATTGCCTCTGTGACTACATGCTTTCCTGCCTGCATTTGTGAGCTCTTGTATTCACTGAATTTCAATTCCCTTCTTAACAGCTGTCATTGTAGCATATCTGTTCCAATGGCAGCTACAAGATGTCTTTTCAATGGAAAAATGTGTGATGAATGGACTACAGATGTATGAATGTATAGGTTAGCATTTGGAGGCAGTAGAAACAGCTCACAGGTTTTCATTAAAGAGCGGTAAAATGCACCACCAAGATAGTTTTTTACATATTTTGTCATGTTAGGACCAAAAACCTCACAGTTTATTTTTTCTTCTGGGATTTTACATCATACATAAAAACAAAGCATAAAAATTAAGTGGAATGGGGCAAAAAATGAGTCTAGCTGAATTTTCTTTTAAAGGAACATTTGCAAATCTTATGGGGTTATATCTCTATCAGCGCTGTAATTCATTACAAAATAATTCATCCTCAGTAAGATTAAATGCAGATGGTCAATGAGTACGTATTCAAAGCATCCCCACAGCATTATATTGCTAACACCATATGTATCCTCCAAGACATTCCAGACAATCTTCTTCTACAGTATGTTTGCAGCAAACTGAAAGCAGACTTTTCAATGCAGCAGTATAACTTGTGCAATAACTGATCTGCAATTACTATTTAATACCTTGTGGAATAATATATATAACTGTATACAATATACTGTATACTATATATATATATGACCTGTCCAGGGTGTATCCCGCCTCTCGCCCATTGACTGCTGGAGATAGGCACCAGCACCCCTCGCTACCCCACTTGCGACAAGCGTTTCAGATGATGGATGGATGGATGGATGGATGGATGGATGGATGGATGGATGGATGGATGGATGGATGGATATATATAAATATATATATATATATATCTATATATTAGGGGTGGAACGGTTCACAAAAACCACGGTTCGGCTTGGTTCACGGTTTCGTGGTCACGATTTTCGGTTTGGTTCGGTATATGTTGATTGTTACCCCGAAATCCCATAAAAATTTATGAAATTAATGGAAAAAAATCCCCAAAAATTTATGAATTGTAATTATTTTTAATGATCCTCGGAAACCCTGGATCATTTCCGCATGTTTTGCCGCTTTGAATTTAATCATCT